AAATTATTACATATCTCATACATAGTGAAGGAGTTAGTCGATATAATCCATACCAGGAACGTCGGAATATTTATATCATATATTGGGGTCCGATACGAAATAGACAATATTGGCCCATTCCTTCGGAACCTGCTTCATAGAGGGTAAAACGTTTGAATAATTGTAACACTAGTCAAATTATATTTAAATAATCGAACACAGGCTGAGGGTATATATCTGTCGGCAATACCGACCGATACTTTTTAACTTGTTAATTTATTTTTTTATTAAATTCATACAAATTTCCACATAAAACATATATTTGTTATGTGAAGCTCTACTAAATATGCAAAGTGGTGTAGGGTATCATAAAGTCGGCGAAGTCCGACTTTAAGACTTTTTTTTACTGGTTTTTGATGTGAAAAACAAGGCTTATATTGTTATCAGAATCCAAAATGCCAAATTACATCAAAATCTGTTGAAATTTTTTTGCCAAAAACATGAAAATTCGGGAGTAGATTGCTATGGGAGCTATATAAAAAACATGATCAATGTTGATAATTTTTGGCACATCAATTTGTTATCCTATCCCAAACAAGACTGTTAAATTTCAGCAAAATCGCTTGGAAACATATGGTTAAAGCCCTTCAAAGAAGTAAAATCGGGAGTAGGGAGGGTTCTATGGGAGCTATATCAAATTGTGGACCCATATGACCTTTATTCTGCAAGGACATCAGGTATCTATTAAGAACGCTAGATGTCGAATTTCAGTACATTTCAATTAAAAATTTACCTAAAATCTTCCAATTTCATTAAATCGGAGGGTACCGTTATATGGGGACCACACTTAATCGTGGACCAATCTTCACAATTTTATGATTACATTAGTTTTTATTCATTATGAAGCTACTGTAAAAAAATCATATCGATTCTTTGTATAGAAGCATTTTTGTCACACCTTCCCATACAAGGGGCCCATGTGGATTGGTAGCCCTAATTTAAGTTAGTCCACAAACACAGTGTTTTAGTACTTTTTGTGTTCTTATTAGTAAGGATTTCCAAAAACATCAAGTAATATGTTATGATCCACTTTCGAAATTTGAAGATTCTGACCCTAAAAGTAAAAAAAAATTAGACCAACAAACACATTTTTAGTACTTTTTACCACGAATTTTTTAAAACCTCCATAAAAAAATAACTTTGTCATTCCGTTTGTAACTCCTCGAAATACTCATGTCAAACCCAACAAAGTATATATTCTTGATCAGCGTAAAATTCTAAGTCGATTTAGCGATGACCGTCTGTCTGTGCGTCTGTCTGTCTGTTGTAATCACGCTATCTTTCGAACCAATTGAGACAGAAGGCTAAAATTTTGCACACATGTTTATTTTTTCAGTAGGCAGGTTAAATTCGTATATGGGCCATGTAGGCCCACGTTTTCATATAGCTTCCATATAACGGTACCTTCTGATATTCGGTATTTTGATGATTTTAGCGACATTAATAACCGGAATTGTTTAAAATTTGGTATTTGAAGTTCGCAATGGATACTACAGCCAAAGACAGAAAATTGTCTGTGTAGGTCCACGTCTTCGTATGTCCCCCATATAACGGTACCTCCCTATATTCGGTATTTTGGTGATTTTAGCAACATTATTCACCGGAATTGTTTCAAAATTGGTATTTGAAGTTCGTTATGGGAACTACAGTCTGTGACAGAAAATTGTCTGTGCGGGTCCAGGTCTTCGTATAGTCCCCATATAACAGTACCTCCCTATATTCGGTATTTTGACGATTTTAGGTACAATACCCACCGAAATTGTTTGAGATGTGGTATTTGAAGTTCGTAATGGATGCTACAGCCTGTTACAAAAAATTGTCTATGCTGGTCCAGGTCTTCGCACAGCTCCGATATAACGGCACCTCCTTATATACGATATTTTGATGATTTTAGCTACATTATTCACTGTTTATTTCAAGTTTCAAATTTGAATATGGTAATGGCTTATGACAAACAATGACTATGTATGTCCACGTCGTATAGACCCCAATATAACGGCTATATTCGGTATTTTTAAAATTTTAAAAGAATTTTTTAAGGATTTTATTTCCAAATTCGTTCAAATTATTCAAAGTTCGTCCCAGCCGAATTTACTGCTTTTTAACATGTCAAAACCTCCACCTAATTCATGCCTCTCATAAATAGTGGTCCAATATACAATTTTAAAATTCTTGCTGAAAAAAATATAGAATTTTAGTACAAAGTCTTTAGTTTCTTTTTATTTTTCGTACGAATTTCCAATTTCTAATGGAAATGGTGTTATCACACACAAACATTTGCCAATCTCTCCAAGTAAGTTTGTATGTTGCAAACAGCAAACAACAAGAGGAGCACACAACAAAACCAACAAACAAATCTTTATAAACTCAGCAGAAAAATATGTACGAATGTTTGTCGGTTACTTTGCAACGAGCGATGCGAAAGTACTGAGATATTCGAAGGGCAACAACAACTCGAGCTAAGGAAAAAACAGATTTGCTTGACAAACTAAAGTTGCAGACTTAATGTTGGCCAAGTACTAATGTTGCTCCACTTTGTTTTTAACTTCCAATGTTGTTGTTGTTGTTTGTGAGGGAGGATGAGTGCTCTCTGGATCATATCGCCTATACATGTGGTGTCTTAATTACTTTTATGCAGTGACCAAACAACAAATGACAAACGAAGAGAAAAGGAAGACCCAAAATTTAAGTTATCTTGGTCTAACAAAGGAAATTGGTAGTACGTTTGAAAAAGGGCACATAGTTAAGGAAATGTTGTCTATATTTTATGACTACATTTCTAATGGTTCCAGAATTCAAAATATAACAAGTAAAAAATCAGTAAGTTCGCCTAGGCCAAACTTTGAATACCCTCCACCATTTGGAACGAATTAGACAATTTTCAAAAATATTAAATCCATTAAAAATTTTGTTAAAATTTTATAAATACCGAAAATCGGATGGTGTCAATATATTGCGGGAATATACGATATCGTGGACCTATATAGACAAACCTATGTCTGGGGGTAAAGTACTCACAAAGAATTCCTTGTGTAGAATTTCAGACAATTCCGTTAAAAAATGTGGCTAAAAACATCAAAATGACGAATATCGGGGGTACCGTTATATTGGGGATATACGATACCCTGAACGTACATATGCAATTCTATTTCAGGGGATAAAATTCTCACAAGGAACTCCTTGTGTGGAATTTCAGACAATTCCACTAAAAAATGTGGCTAAAATCATCAAAATACGGAATATTGGGTGGAGGGGTGGGGTCCGTTATATGGATGCTGTACGATATCGTGGACCTATATAGACAATTCTCTTTCTGGGGCTAAGTGCTCACAAAGAACTCTTTGTGTAGAATTTCAGACAATTCCGTTAAAATATGTGTGGCTAAAATCAGCAAAATTCCGAATGTCGGGAGTACCGTTATATGGGGGCTATACTATATCGTGGACCGATATAGCCCATCTTCGAACTTGACCTGCCTGCACACAAAAGACTGATCTGTGCAAAATTTAAGCTTCCTATCTTAATTCGTTTTGACAGTAGCGTGATTACAACAAACGGACAGACGGACGGACAGGGATAAATCGTCTTAGAATTTTACGCTGATCAAGAATATATATATATACTTTTTTGGGTCTAAAATTATTATTTCGATGAGTTACAAACGGAATGACGAACTTTATATACCCTCCATACTATTTATGGTGGAGGGTATAAAAATCTTCACTATTCGTAGGCATATTTTGCATTAATCTAAAAAATAGATACTGAAAGCGACGGTATAACCTAAAGAGTCTCAGCATCGAGAATTTACTCCCATAATTTTATCACAAACAAATACAATACGCGTAATTTCCCCGGTTTTTTTCTACATCTCAAATCTGCATAATGATTTGGCTGACGACTGGGATTGATGAAGGATATCTGCTCCATATAAAAGTAAATTTTTAAATTAATTTTTTTTTGTTGGCCTTAATTCTCTGCAGCAACCTTCTACACCCTTGGCAATAATTTGTGTGTTTATGAAACATTTATACTCAACTCCTAGGTTAGTAACTCATCATCGAACATATAACAACTGAAAAAATTTGAGTGATTTTTATATACATACCCATTGTGAGATTTTTAAATTATTTATTCAAAATGTGTAAGAAAACATACCTGAAATTAAAAAAGAAATTGAATATTATTGAATTATGCAAGAAAATAATAAGTAAAAAAGCTGTAAGTTCGACAGGGCCGAACTTTGAATACAAATTTGGCAATTTTCAAAAAATTAAAATCCATTAAAATTTCTATACGACGACGTGGACCTGCATACGGAACTTTTGTCATAAGCCGGCACAGATAATTTTCTGGTAAAGGCTGTAGTATCCATTACGAACTTAAAATACAAAATTTGAAATAATTCCGGTAAATAATGTCGCTAAAATCATCAAAATACCGCATATTGGGGGGTTGCCGTTAAATGGGTGCTATACGAAGAGGTACCTGTAGGGACAATTTTCTGTCACAGGCTGTAATTACGAACTTCAAATACAAAATTTGAAATAATTCCGGTAAATAATTTCGCTAAAATCTTTGAAATACCGAAAATGGGGGGGGGGGGGGTGGGGGGTGGGTAACGTTATATTTGGGCTATACGCAGACATGGACCTACATGGCTCATCTTCTGTCGTAGGATGTAGCATACATTACGAACTTCAAATACCAAATTTGAAACAATTCCGGTAAATAATGCCGCTTAAATCATCAAAATACCGAAAATCGGGGGGGGGGGGGGGGGGGGGGGTACCGTTATATGGGGGCTATACGAAGACGTGGACCTACATTGCCCATTTTCTGTCTTATGCTGAAGTATCCATTACGAACTTCGAATACCGAATTTGAAACAATTCCGGTGAATAATGTCGCTAAAATCATCAAAATACCGAATATAGGGAGGTACCACACTGAGGGAAAAATCCCGTTGCGAAATCAAGCACGTATGTTGTCATTTTCGCAACGACCCGTTGTTATATTTTTCAACAACGGCTGTTGGTGAATTGTGCACGAACGTGCTCAAATTGACACCGAGACGTGGTCAACTTTCGGTACCAACAACAGCCGTGCTTAATTTGTCCATTTGTAATATTGGTAATTGCAGCCGATTACACACGAGTAAAAAATGACAACGGTGGTGCATGATTCACACACGGTCGTTGTCAATATGACACCGGTCGTGTATGAATTATGCACCACCACCTGCATAATGATGCACCACCGTTGTTACTTTGTACACCGACGTGCATGAATCGTACACGATCGTTGCCATTTTAGCAACTACCGTGTATGAATCATGCACCACCGTTGTCATTTTTTTTACTCGTGTGCAATCGGCTGCATATTTACCATTTTTTCCGTGTTATTGAAAGAGAAAGGACGCATTGTGCAAAAAATTTATTGAAAATGAATAATAATTCGCAAGATCCTCAAAATATCATTGGTGAGTTGTTAGAAATCGATGGCAATATTGTTGTGGTTCGCGATACAAACCATTGCAGCAGTCAAGATGCGGAAAACAATGAGGACGATTATATGTTAAGGGAGTTCTTAAAAGGAATAAATATGGAGTCGCTTTTTGAACAATTAAAAGGTAAGTAAATAAAAATGAATTTTTCAGTTAATCAGTGTAATTAACAAAGAATTTTCTTTTTTGTTCTTTTAGCATCACATGTAACATTTCGCAGTTTGCAGTACTTGAAAAAAGAAGATTTAAAGGAAGCAGTGCCACCATTGGGACTGCGAGTTGAATTCAGAGAAAAGCTCTTTGCTTGGAAAAAACGAAAGGTACGTATTATTTGTTTTACAGTGTTGAACTCAGTATTAATATTGTCATAACAATAGCTCGGGATTGATGACGAAACTATGTCAGTTCCATCTAAAATAGGTGAATGGTGGAAACGCAACGAGACACCTGCAAGTACTCCTGGTACTCCCGACACTACAGGTTCGAACTGCTCAAAAGCCAAAGGAATTTTGTCAGAGGTAAGGTAAGAGTAATATTTGTGTAAGCATAGTTAATGTAGTTTTTTTATTTAATATAGGATCTAACGGAATTGTTAACACATACCTCGAAGGGGAAACTAGCGCTTGAATGTAGTAGCGTTAATAAGAAATTAAGTGACGAGCAAAGAGATGATATAATTAATATAATTATTGAAGATATTTTAACCAACAATGTTACTCTTTACACTCAAGACTATATGCGCATATTGGATGAAATTTGTTCCGTTTTTCCTCTTGAAAACGAAATGAGGGTAAGATTAACAATATAAACAACGTATCTGATTATGTAGTTTCTTAACTTATAATATGTCTTTATTTTTAGGATTATTATTACATTTCAAGAAAAGGAAAGAACAACGCAAGCGGAAAACTTTATGCCAAGTATAGAAACAAGAAGTCCAAAAGAATAAAGCTTTTGATTTCCGAGCCTAGCACAAGCAAAGCAGCAACTCACACATCTCCTAATTTTTGTAACAAAGATGTTCCCGAAATTGATGAATCAGTTGAAAATTCATTGAAAGCTTCCTTACTAAGAGAATGTAATGATTGGGGATCGATCTGCGAAAAATGGAAAAGATCTTTTAACATACGGCAAAGAGATATAAAAAATTTAAGTAGCCATACATTTCTCCTTGAATGGACGAAGTTGTCCGATGCAAGAGCTTCAGAATTGGTAAGTAGCCATGAGCTATTTATTTGTATATGGATACTAATGTTTCGTTTTAGGTCAACATTGATTTCGATATTATGTATCCACAGAAAGGCAATCTTCTACTTTCTAAATGGGACCAATTTAAGAAAGAAAGATTTGGCAAAAGAGGAATATTGTTACAAAAAAAGTAAGCCAGTTTTAAATTACCAAAATTGCAAAGTGTCTGATGACATTTTTTTTAAGGGAACTAGGTATAAAAAAAACTATTATTTAGCAACAAATAATGCCGCAATTGAACTTTTCAAAATTAAACATTTAATAATTGAAAATGAAAATGTTTACATTTTATGTAACCAATTAAAAGTTAAAAACTTTGATTACCATTTACAATCGTATGAAGTTGGTTCTCTGAATGAGGATACAATTTTTTTAATACCAATTTTAGATTTTATTACTTACCCATTTCACTTATATCCTATGAATAATGGAAAAGTTTATTTCAGATTTAAGTTAATTTAATTTGTTTCTATACATTGAATATATGTAATTCGAATTGTTTTGTTAAATCAAATATGTATTTATATTGAATTTATGTAATTGGTTTCGTTCAATAAAATACTTTTCAAAAAATGTCGTTTCTTCTACTAAGGGTATAAAATGGAAAAGGAACGGATATCAAAAAATGACCACCATTGATTTCAATCTGACAACGGGCGTTGACAATCCGACAACGGAGCGTTGACAATCTGACAACGAAGCGTTGACGATCTGACAACGAAGCGTTGACAATCTGACAACGGGGCGTGCTCGAAATGACCACGTATGTGCTCATTTCATGCACATCTGTTGTTGAAATCGTTGCCAAAATCTCGGTGTCAAAATGACAACAGCGTGCTCATTTTGACACCAAACGTGGTTGATACACTATCATACACGGATGTGGTCATTTCATACACGGATGTTGTCATTTTTTCTCTGGGTGCATGGGGGTTATAAAACGTGGACTTGCACAGACAATTTTCTGTCATAGGCTGTAGTATCCATTACGAATTTTAAATACAAAATTTGAAATAATTTCGGTAAATAATGTCGCTAAAATCTTAAAAATACCGAATATCGGGGGGTAACGTTATAATTGGGCTACACGCAGACGTGGACCTGCATGGACAATTTTCTGTCATAGGCTGCAGTATTCATTACAAACTTCAAATACTAATTTTGAAACAATTTCGGTACACAATGTCGCTAAAATCAACAAAATACCGAATATCGGGGGATACTGTTATATGGGGGCTATACGAAGACGTGGACCTACATGGCCCATTTTCAATACCAAAAGTTCTGCAGACTTAATATACCAATACCAAAAGTTCTGCAGACTTAATAAACATTTGAGTATATTTTTAACAACTTCCTTTATTTCGTTCGGAAGCTAGAGTGATTTCTACAGATGGACAGACGGACGGACTTCGCTAAATCGACATAGAATTTTATGCTGATCAAGAATTTATATACTTTGTGGGGTCTAAAATATATATTTCGAGGTGTTACAAACGGAAAGACAAACATAATATAACCTCCATACTATGGTGGAGGGTATAAAAAGTAGTAATTTTAACATCAATTTAAGTATTTCTTACTTTCTGTCGAGTAACAAATAAAGGGTATTTTTATTTCTTGGAATACAGGGAGAGATGAAAAAACTGAAACCAACGTCAGACTGATGTCATTTCTAAGCCACTCGTCCGACAGCTGTTAAAATTATTCCAGTGATAGCTCATTATATTGCTTACAAGCGTACAAAAGCATTTTGGTGAGAATTGTCCAGAAAAAAAGTTATTCGTGATGGAATTCAAGCGTGATAGTGTGATTTCTTTATTTTGGCTGGAAAACTACAAGTGGCTATCGTTAGAGTTCTCCAGCATTTAAATGTGAATAAATCCTTTGTGTCTCGTACCATCGCTTGTTACCGTGATACTGGTAGCGTAGCCCGACATCAAGGAAATGGGCGGAAGAACACAGCAACCAACATCAGCAGCAATGGTTCGAAATGTAAAAAAGCGACTTGATCGAAACCCGCGTCGCCGTTGCCGAAAAATGGCTCGTGAGCTGAACATATCGCAATATTCCATTCAGCAAATATTGAAAAATGAGCACGGGGTAAGGCCTTAGAAATACCATAAAGAGTGCAAGAACTTAGACCGCAACAGAAATAAAATAGACTTAAAAGAAGTAAGGAGTTGCTTCGCTTGGCCGAAAGTGGTGAACTGCCGAATTTGGTTTTCTCCGATTTGAAAACATTCGTTGTCCAGCAGTTTGTAACCAAACAAAATGATCGTGTTTACAATGCCAAAGAGTTCAGCTGAAAATGTGCAACTTCGGTTTGTCACCAGAACTCAAAGGTCGCCATAACAGCCGATGGTCGCTCTCCGCTCGTATTAATCGACCGTGGCATCAGGATAAATGTCGAATAATATCGCGAAAATATTCTGGATGGTGTATTAAAGCCTTGGGTACGCAAACATTTTGGCCGCAGACCTTGGACATTCCAACAGGACTCAGCACCATCGCACCCAGCGCCCGCCACCCAAGAATGGTTACAAAATGAGGTTCCTCGCTTCATTTCCAGCGCACAATGGCCACCAAAATCTCTGAATACCAATCCGTGTGACGGTTTCATTGGACGTTTGAAGGCCATAATTCGTGCCAAAGGTCACAAATTCGTACAAATCTAAACTTATTCTAAAATTTGATGTTATTTCCGACATTTTTTGCTTTCATTCAATTTATTATGAAAATGTCTGCTCTATTAAGAAGGTTTATCACCCGATTTATTGTGTTCAGCGACGAAGCTAATTTGACTCCAAAAAATTGCAAAAGCTACCAATGCATCCATTCATTGGACCCTTAAAAGAAGGTGTTGCAAATCGGAACGTAACCTTGAATGGTGAGAGCTACCGTGACACGATATCCAATTTTTATTTATTTTTTTATCAAAAATGCAAGAGCTTTGATTTGCATGATGTGTGGTTTCAACAAGTCGCCGCCAAACAGCAGACTTAACAATGGACTAACTGAGAGCCCAGTTAGGTGAACATTTTATTTTACATTTGGGGCAGGTTAGGTAATTTTTTCTGGGACTGAATTGAGGGTCATACCTATACAGATGAGCCAGCTTCAATTGATGCATTGGAAGACAACATTGAAGAATTTATTCCAGAGTTGCTGGCCGAAATGTTGGAAAGAGTATGGCAAAATTAGACTTTGTGGATGGACCTTTTGAGTGGCATGAAATAATCGAGGACTTCGAAAAACTAGCTTGAATTTGTTCAAAGAGTGAAACTCACTCGATTTCAAGTGAACCGCTCCAGAGTGCAGGAAAAAATGTAGAGCAAACTGAATTTTTTGATGTCGCTCGAATAAGAGCGAGCACATTTTCCTCGTTTTCGAGCGAGTGCAAGAATTAGCTCAAAATCTAGCAGGTTCTAGTATTGGAGAGCTCTCTGTTAGTTTTTTTACACCCTCCACCATACTATGGAGGGTATATTAACTTTGTCATTCCGTTTGTAACTCCTCGAAATACTCATGTCAGACCCAACAAAATTTATAAATTCTTGATCAACGTAAAATTCTAAGTCGATTTAGCGATGTCCGTCTGTCTGTCCATCTGTCGGTCCGTCTGTCTGTTGTAATTACTCTATCTTTCGAACGAATTGAGATAGAAGACTAAAATTTTGCACACATGTTTATTTTTCCAGTAGGCAGGATAAGTTCGTAAATGGGCCATGTAGGTCCACGTTTTCATATAGCCCCCATACAAAGGTACCTCCCGATATTCGTTATTTTGATGATTTTTGCGACATTATTTACCGGAACTATTTCAAATTTAGTATATGAAGTTCGTAATGAATACTACAGCCTATAACAGAAAATTGTCTGTGCAAGTCCACGTCTTCGTATAGCCCCCATATAACGGTACCTCCCGATATTCAGTATTTTGATGATTTCAAATTTGGTATTTAAAGTTCGAAATGGATATTGTCTGTGCTTGCAAAATTGTCTGTGCAAGTCCACGTTTTCGTATAGCCCCAATATAACGGTACCTTGCTATATTCGGTATTTTGATGATGATATGGTATTTGAGATTCGTAATGGATGCTACAGCCTATGACAGAAAATTGTCTATGCAGGTCCGGGTCTTCGTATAGCCCCCATATAACGGTACCTCCCGATATCCAGTATTTTGGTGATTTTAACGACATTATTCACCGGAATTGTTTAAAAATTGGTATTTGAAGTTCGTAACGAATACTACAGTCTGTGACAGAAAATTGTCTATGTAGGTCCAGGTCTTCGTATAGGCCCCATATATCAGTACCACCCTATATTCGGTATTTTGATGATTTTAGGTACAATACTCACCGAAATTGTTTGAGATGTGGCATTTGAAGTTCGTAAGAGATGCTACAGCCTGTGACAGAAAATTGTCTATGCAGGTCTAGGTTTTCGCTCAGCTCCGATATAACGGTACATATCTATATATGTCATATTTTGATGATTTTAGCTACATTATTCGCCGTTTATTTCAAGTTTCGAATTTGAATATGGTAATGGCTTATGACAAATAATGCCTAGGTAGGCCCACGTCGTATAAACGCCAATATAATGGATATATTTGGTATTTTTTAAATTTTAACAAAATTTTTTGAGGGTTTTTTTTTTTTGAAAATTTCCAAATTTGTTCCAAACGGTGGAGGGTATTCAAAGTTCGGCCCGGCCGAACTTACTGCTTTTTAACTTGTCAAAATTGTTATTATATTTCTATGCATGTGTTTTTTCTGTCCCTCTACCCATCTCCTCCCTCTCTTATCCCCCTTACCCAAAAATTTCCCTTTTTTTCGTACATTCGTAAGGGACGCTAATATAAACCTTAGATATTGGAACACGAAAAAATTTTTGAATTTGAACAATTTTCAAGCAATATCATCCACCCTAGTTCAAATTTGCTAACCCCCAGATTCATTGTTTTATTGTGTTTTGCTGGAGGGTCACTAGGCAACGAGGCTTCTATGTTCATTTCCCATGACAATTATAACTCCATCAGGTGCTTGGAACAATACCACTGAGATGAGAGTTACATCATATCGTACATGACTGGAACGAAGCATGTATTGAAAAGAAATCCCAAAGAAAACAAAAAAATGAAAGATAATTTATTAATGATTGCCAATGTTGCCATGTTGCATTACGAATATATCCCCTTTGTTAGTGTATGTGTGTGTGTACGGGAACATCAAATGCATATTCTACTCTCTTACAACAGGGTTTTAATGGAATAAAAAGCTTCTCCCTCTCAGCAAAATATTAAAGGATAACGGTGGCTTGATGTGCCCGCCGCTGCAGTTAACGTAATTATGTATTACGTGTAGCAACACATACAGGCAAACGCTTACTCTCACACACACATACAACGTTAAGGACAAATTCAAAATCAGAAATGCATTGTGTGTTGTAGCCCCCCTTTTAATTAAGGATATCATCATTCAGTAATACTCCACAAGCAAAGCCAAATGAGAAAATTTGCATCAAGGACATTACTAAGCATCTTTGCGAGGAAATTAAACCTAGGGGAGATTTGAGTTGGGGTTAACTTGATGTCAGATCTAATTTTGGCTTGAGTGATGAATTGCCATGAAATGAGTTTAAATGATTGCATTGCTACTCAATATTTTTTTTTTCAAGGATGAAGTACGGAAAATTCAGCTAGTTAATCGTTTAGTTGTAAAATAGGAAAGTAAAAGTTTTTTATTGGGGTTAATAGCTCCGAATGAAGTTTTTTAGGTCAATCAATAGAAACTATTGAACATTTTATGGTTGGTTGCAAAAGAAGTTGGTATGAATTAGTCGGTTTTGCAGAGCAGTAGATACCATCAGTCTATTATATTTATGACGGTAGTACCAGAATATGGATCTTCAATCTTGATATTACGAGGTACCAAATTTTGAAATATTGAAATCTATGCCTGTTTAGGTCAAATGTCATTTGTGAAAAAGTATTCCATGACTTTTCTTTCGAGTTGAGCTGTTAACGACCCATTAAAGGGATGCATTGATAAAATGAATCTGGCGAAGCTCCACTCATGCCAAGATAATGCGACGTGTTTCGCCTTTGGTGGACGAACGGACGAATCCCTTTAGATCGACTCCAAATATCCTAAAACGTATTTTGTCCAAAAAGAGATCTAGGATTTAAAAACCTTATTTCAATGTGGCTGATAATAAAAAACATTTGTAGCCAAATAACCAATAAAATCAGGGCCTCAAAAATTCCGCTTAAAATGTGTTTTTCTCGAAAAAAATGTTGTTTTACCCAAAATCGTACCATCAATAACACTGTGCGGCAAAATCTTACTTTTTCAATAATTACGGGGATAATTCAGCAGATTATGAAAGTAGAGCAAAAAAAGTTTACATTAACCCAACAAGAGAGGGCAACTTCCCCCATTTTCCAAACCTTTGGAAAATTTTGGATAAAGGTTCTTTGGAATCCGTGCATTTATGGTACATAGGGTCTTCAGCAATATTGCAGATAAAAATCGGGGGAATATTTTGACATTTTAACAAGTTAAAAAGCAGTATGTTCGGACGAGCCGAACTTTGAATACCCTCCACCATTTGGAACAAATTTGAACATTTTCAAAAAATAAAATCCTTAAAAAATTCTGTTAAAATTTTAAAAATACCGAATATAGCCCTTATATTGGGGTCTATACGACGTGGACCTACATAGGCATTTTTTGTCATAAGCCATTACCATATTTAAATTCGAAACTTGAAATAAACGGTGAAGCTAAAATCATCAAAATATGGTATATAGGGATGTACCGTTATATCGGAGCTGTGCGAAGACCTGGACCAGCATAGACAATTTTCTGTCACAGGCTGTAGCATCCAATACGAACTTCAAATACGACAACTCAAACAATTTCGGTGGGTATTGTACCTAAAATCGTCAAAATACCAAATATAGGGAGGTACTGATGTATGGGGCCTTTACGACGACCTGGACCTGTATAGACAATTTTCTGTCACTGACTGTACGAACTCTAAAATCGTAATTTGAAACAATTTTGGTGAATAATGACTCTAAAATCATCAAAATACCGAATAGTGGGAGGTACCGTTATATGGGGGCTATACGAAGACGTGGACCTGCACAGACAATTTTCTGTGATAGGCTGTAGCATCCATTACCAATCTCAAATACCAAATTTGAAACAATTCCGCTGAATAATGCCGCTAAAATCATCAAAATACCGAATATCGGGAGGTACCGTTATATGGGGGCTATACGAAGACATGGACTTGCACAGACAATTTTTTGTCCTAGGCTGTAGTATCCATTTCGAATTTTAAATACCAAATTTGAAACATTTCCGGCGGATAATGTTGCTAAAATCATCAAAATACCGAATATAGGGTGGTATTGGGCCTATACGAAGACCTGGACCTGTATAGACAATTTTCTGTCACTGACTGTAGTTCCCATTACGAACTCTAAACACGTAATTTGAAACAATTCTTTTGGGAGGTACCGTTATATGGGGCTATACGAAGACGTGGACCTGCCAGACAATTTTCTGTCATAGGCTGTAGCATCCACTACGAACTTCAAATGCCAAATTTGAAACAATTCCGGTTAATAATGTCGCTAAAATCATCAAAATATCGAATATCGGGAGGTACTTTTATATGGGGGCTATATGAAAACGTGGACCTATATGTTCCATTTATGAACTTAACCTGCCTACTGGAAATATAAACAAGTGTGCAAAATTGTAGCCTTCTATCTCAATTCGTTCGAAAGATAGATAGACAGACAGAAAGACGGAAATCGCTAAATCGCCTTAGAATTTTACGCTGACCAAGAATATATATACTTTGTTCGGTCTGACATGAGTATTTCGAGGAGTTACAAACGGAATGACAAAGTTAATATGCCCTCCATAGTATGGTGGAGGGTATAAAAAGGGTCTTTTTGTTCATTTTTTAAAAGATGGTAAAAACTCTCTTTAAACGGGGTCGTAACAAGATAGGGTATTCCGCAAAAATATTTGTCATAAAATTCTACTATTGGTAGATCCATATATATTACAGAGAATTTTTATGGTTAAATTTGCTCCTCTTCGACACTTTTGGAAAATTTTCAGATTAAGATTGCTCGAAAGCCGTGCATTTAAGGTTAACAGTGTCTCTAGCAA